CGAATTAAAAGAACATAGAATAAGAACTTCTGATGCAAGCATTGCATATATCTTGTGTTCGTGCTCTTTGCGTCATAGCGAGTGTATAGACTATGGAACACAATCGTATTTCTAGTTTGGTGTTTTATGTCCAGTCAGACAAAATTTAACACTGCTTATGTGCTGAATGCGCAGAAATGGTCGTTAATTTTCTTCGATTGCTCATTCATTTATCAATGCATAATTGCATATCCATATCTTTGTGGATTTGAACAATTTTTCAAAGGTAGGAGAAATCACTACACGCTATCACAGAAAAGGAAGGTACAGCAGAAGCGTAACTCTAGTCGTATCCCTTACTGTTTTACATCCACGAAAATTTTAACTCGCTCACGCCAATCCACGTCATCCTGGCTAGTACAACCGGAAGTTTTTATCAGATTTTGGTAGGTACAAAGTGCCGGTTGTACTAGCCAGGATGGCGTGATTGATGACGAATCGCTTGTAAAAATATTGTCCTTTATGTTATTGGGTAGGATACGTCACTAATTATGTAGTCAAATCACAGCGCGACCGGTGCACGCAGGTACATGATTCTAACAGCAATTTTATTGCTAATTGTATACTCAAACGTTTTAATTACGGATTTTATTGAATAAAACCCGTTTGTTTGGGCTTCCTATGAAGAAACTACCAGACTACATTTGCAAGTTTCGCAACTCTCATCGCTTAAATTCCCCATACCTGAATAGAAAATAAACAGTAAACAGTAAACAACGATTACCTTTTACATACCATATATATAACGGAGTTTTCATCCTTTCTAGAAACTCACTTCCTGAACTTTTGAGCGCAAATGTAATGTATTAAAAATGTATATCATATTCACAGCGGTTAATACCATTAATATATCGCGGGCGCAATACAGAACAAAACACGAGAATTTTAAAATGTTTTGATTTGCAAATAAATAAATAATATTTGATGTCATAAAAATTTTTAAATTTAACTCAACACAAACTGCTAAGTTCATGACATGTATAATTTACTTATATGTTGTTATATTGCAATTCTGTACCCTACTCCTTTGAAAATTGTTTGCAATTGCATATGATGTGAACATGTGGTCATGTATTTATATAGTTGTGTCATGAATTTACATGTAATAATACCCCAATGGCTTCGAACTAGATAATGGATGAAAAAAGTCATGAATATTGAGCTTATTTACCCTTTAAATACTTGATCGTCATGCGCATACAGTGTATTGTTTGTTTCCAGAACCCCCTCAAGCAGACTTCAACTTTTTTTGTTAAATTGTATATTTTGCTTCATATAGTGCATGTGTGTGTGTGTGTTTGTGGGAACACTCATGTTTGGATGCTTGGCATAGGTTAATGGTAATTTCATTGGAGTCATCAGGGATATAGTTGTATATTCCTGAAATTACCTCTAAACACCTAAAACAGCATTCCCTAAAATTTTAATTGTTTTCTTACATTGCCCTATATCGCTCAAACTCGCATTGCTTAAATTGCAGATTTTGCTTAAATCACCTAATATTGCTTAAACTCGCATTATCTCGTTATAGCCCCAGAGCATAGATTAAGTAAGAACAGATGTGTAACTTCAGTAAAAAAGTTGTCCCACGGTCGCAATCTTCCTAGCAAGTGTCGCTCGCGTGATAATTCGTCATTTGGCAATACGTCATTGCTTCCATGCCCTTGACCTGCCTTGACAATATTTCTATGGCCTTGACCCTTGACCTGTCTTTTGCATTTACGCGAAAAAGTCATTGGCATTGCAATTTATATAAATTCCCGCTAAAATGGCTCAAATGAAAAGAAAGGAAGGACGTAGACATGCAGGAACTACCTGGTGTTCGGCAATGAACTGCACAAACAACAAAAGAAGAATGGAAAACATGAATTTTTCCGTTTTCCAAAAAACCCGATAAGGTAAATATGGCGCTTTTTATTTTTAGCTTCAACTTTTTACTAGGTTTAATCACCAACCAAAAACAGCTTTTAAAATATTTAAAAATACAGAAAGCCAGGAGAAACGTTTGTTGAAAATATCTTAGGTCTGCACAGTGGGTTATTGCCTGTGGAAGGAATGACCTTGTGAAGAAAAGTGTGAAGTATCTTTACAACAACTGCAAGCTGTGCGCGGTCCATTTTGAAAACGATAGTTTTCAGAATAAACTAAGAAATCGACTCAAGGAAAGTGCTGTTCCATCAATTTTTCATGGAAAACGGAAGTTGTTTTTTGAAGATGATGATGAACTATTAAACGGCGTCAATGATGGTATGTTGGAAAGTTTTAGCATGAAACTTATAAACAAAAACATGCGTGTCACTTTTAAACACAGCCGTAAAGCTCAAAGTGAAAATACTGAATTACTAGTGACTGTAGTAGGTTATGACTCATGTGCACACGGGCGTCGTTTTCCAGCGTTTTCAAAACCTTTTTTTCCTTTAATTGCTTTGACTCCCTGTTTACACGGTCCAAAGGAAAATATTTCCAATATATAAAATAAACTACAGCTTCTGACGTACATCCGTTTTAGCGTGAAAACACAAATGAAAATGCTCGAAAACGTTTATATACCTTGTGCACATAAACTCAGACATAGTCTAAAAAAGAAACTAACAATCCCACAAAGTATGTCAAGCCCTCGAAACTTTGCCTAATGCCTATGTCTATATGTTTGCTTAGAGGAAACTCCACTTTTTACACCGGGCGCCTTTTTCTCTCGTAAAAAAATAAAAATTAATTCAAAGTGTGGGTCTGAATCTAACGCTACTTTAGATTTAGGCTTTTTTACACGCGTCTCCTTTTTTTTCTCTCGTTAAAAATAAAAAATAATTCAAAGACAAAGTGTGAATCAAAATCTAACGCGCTACTTGGATTTAGGGTTTAATTCAGCTCGTTGTAGTTGTGTCCATTGTCTTTAAATGCTTAATTATACAACCTACTGAAACGGCAAAACTCTAAACGGTTGCCGTCGACTTTCAGCATATATATCTATGTTAATAAATATATGTGCCTATATGGCAATAAAATTCGAAACATTGAAAAAGACTGCTTATTGAAATGCAATGACCAACGTATTTCTATATGTGAAAAGTACTTGTGTTAAAAGTGGTACATACTATGTTTTCGAAACTGTCTATTCGTACACTTATTAAAGAAACTATATCATATTTTTTACAAATTTTAGGCATCAACTTCAAAATGGAACTCCACTTTTTCGCATCTTAGTTCACTTCTTATTTAATAGTAAACAGCTTGGGCTCTTGTTTCAAAACAAAAGTTTATTCTTTTAAAACGGTAGTTACGTGCTTTTACAACTATAAGCTTTTTCAATGCTCCACAATACGATTAAAAACATGCACAAAAAACAACCTCGAGGTCCGAGGAGAAAAAAACTTTCCATGCATGGAACGTACCTCAAATGCTTCATATTGAACTTTTAAACGTTGATCCGTGTTCCTTAATCCATCTTTACAAAAAAACGGACCATACTTTATCCCTTGAGCAAAATTCATTGTATTTCCCATTGCATAAATGTTTTAAAATATCCCTGGTCATGAACAAAAATCAGTTCCAATCGCAAAATGTGAATTTTTGAAATTTTTCTACAGGGTTGGTAGGGTCACAGAGTAGATAAGACATACAGAGACGTAACTGACCGTTGTAAACACTGCGGAAGATTACGTTATCATGTACCCACTTTTTTTCAGGCGACCGGGCGAAAAATGATCAACTGCGCGTGCTCAGCAAGTTTAAAGTGAGTCGTCATCAGGTCGTCATCCAATCAGATGCATGCATCTAGTAACTTGCCGAGCATGCGCACAAAAAATGTGGGTACACTAGTTACGTCTCTGTATGTCTCTACTCTGTGGTAGGGTTCTTGCGCATGCTCGAAACCAAACGCCGTTAAAAAGTAGCCAAAATCTACCAAAAGAGGCCAAACAAAATTTTATTCAAAAAAAGCCAAAAAGATGTCAAATGGCAGTGAAATGTGAACTAAAGTTTAAGAGAGAAATAATGGAAAGTTTAAGCTTCGCGTTATACGTCAAACAGGTTACAGCAAACGCCAGGCAAAGAAAAATTTCACGGTATCAGGCAATAAAGAGTAATTAAACTTGCCGTTTCAAAACTGAAAGACATAATTATTCTTTTGACGCAAGAAAGAAAATATGAAACCAAAACGTTCAACGAAAATGTTGTCAAGAAAGTTCCAACCTGCCGGTTGCCGTTCCCGGAAACGTGAAGCTTAAACTCCCTACCAACCTAATAATTGCCCTGACTAATCACCCCCACCCCTCCCCAAAAATACAAAATTGCTTCATACAGTACTGCTTAATCACGATTGGATAGTTTATCAACTGTATTGGCTGGATTGCATGAATCCTGATTGGCCAGAATTACAACCAGGTTATTTGCAAAAATTATTGCATTCGTGCAAATAATCAATAAATTTTCACAAAATTCATGTAAATCGTGAAGAGATGAAACTGTCTTTTTGAGGCCAAGCAAAAATAAAGCCAAAATTGAAGCAAAAATTACAAGTGTATAAGCGGGTCTTTTTAGTACTCCTTATTTAATAATGGAAATTGCTAGATAGTATACTTCAAAATAAGATTTCCGTTTTTATATCAATTTTTTAAATAAGTTAGGGTTAGATTAGGTTAGGGTTAGGTTAGGGTTGGGGTTAGGGTTAAGTTTAGAATAAGGGTTAGGGTTTAGTTTTGCGTTAGGATGGTTTTTTCTACGTTGTAAAAACGGAAACCTTATTTTGAAGTATACTATCTAGCAATCACCATTTAATAATGCTTACGATAAGTTCAAAAGACATAACTGCTAGAAAGAATGCAAATAGACCTTAGAAGTGCTTTACGTCACACACTTTTTAATACATACAAAATTAGATCTTTTCGTTATATTTATATAAATGAGTTGTTACATTTATGAATGTACGCGTTATACTCCCTCTATTTTTGTTAGCGGAATATATGAACAGAACAGAAATGCCACCATTACATGCAGCATCCTGTACCATGAGAAGAGTAAACGTTAAGAATGAAGGTGACGACAAATGACCTCTAAAGACTGTTCGCTAGATATACAATAACAATTTTAGAGCAGAGTAGTACAGAAATTGAGTACTTTCACTATCATTTAGATACTGAAATGATACAAACATCTGCATTGTCTATTGTGCATGATAATGAAGTTAACAGTGGTACATTTGAAGGTATTATAACCATGATTTTACATTACTGTCAAAATACACTATGGTAATCGGTAAACTTTTGCATTATTGTAGAAACTCCCAGGATGCAAGAACCGTCTGCATTGTCTATTGTGTATGATGAAGTTAACAGTGGTACATTTGAAGGTATTATAACCATGATTATACAGTACTGCCAAATTGCACTATGGTAATCGGTAAACTTTTGCATTATTGTAGAAACTCCCAGGATGCAAGAAACATCTGCATTGTCTACTGTGTATGATAATGAAGTTAACAGTGGTACATTTGAAGGTATTATAACCATGATTTTACAGTACTGTCAAAATACACTATGGTAATCGGTAAACTTTTGCATTATTGTAGAAACTCCTAGGATGCAAGAAACATCTGCATTGTCTATTGTGTATGATAATGAAGTTAGCAGTGGTACATTTGAAGGTATTATAACCATGATTTTACAGTACTGTCAAAATACACTATGGTAATCGGTAAACTTTTGCATTATTGTAGAAACTCCCAGGATGCAAGAACCGTCTGCATTGTCTATTGTGTATGATGAAGTTAACAGTGGTACATTTGAAGGTATTATAACCATGATTTTACAGTATTGTCAAAATACGCTATGGTAATCGGTAAACTTTTGCATTATTGTAGAAACTCCCAGGATGCAAGAAACATCTGCATTGTCTACTGTGTATGATAATGAAGTTTATAGTGGTACATTTGAAGGTATTATAACCATTATTGTAGAAACTCCCAGGATGCAAGAACCATCTGCATTGTCTACCTATAAAAATAGACCATTTTTAAATTATTGATTATTAAAATGTTGAATTCTTTTAGCCACCAACATGCCAGCTACAACATTGCATAATTTGGGTGATTGCTCATTCAAAATTGACAGTTTCGAAGGTATTATTATAATAATAACTTTTTATCATTTTAAATAAACCGTGTAGTAATTAAAAACTTTACCGAAATGATATCGGCAACTTGGTCGGCAACTAGATCGGTAAAACAAACTTAGCTCCCACCCTTATGTACTGTAAATATTTTGTAATGTCCCCAAATCTGGGAGACACGTGACCAGCCTGGACCAGGGTCTTTCTCCAGCGAGAAGGGTAGTGGAAAGAGCTTGGCTACGCGGTTGAGCCTAGTTAGGACACTTTTTCCAGATTTGCAAAGGGGATGTTTTGTTCATAATTGATTGGCCCTGTTAAACATGGATCTTCAACTTTAGGTACTAGCAACTGTAACCAAACAATGGATTCAGAGTGTCAAACAAACAAATCACTATCGAGTAACACCCCACGAAAACGGAAACAGCGACAACTAATAAGCCGACATCGAAAGCAGTTAAAAAGAATTCGTCGTAGCTGGAATATGAAGAAGAACAAACATAACAATGTGGGACAAGAAGACAGCCAAGGAGGTCATTCGCAATCTTTTACCTGCCAGGATTGCGAACTTTGTGGAAATGCAAGTTGAACTGCATTCTCGTCCCAGCAAAGGCCAACGTTACAGCCAGGAGACAAAAGCTTTTGCTTTGTCCCTTTATCACATCAGTGGAAAAGCATACAGATTCCTTTCAAAGTTTTTCCACCTACCATCTAAGTCGAGTCTTCTAAAATGGGTATCAGGGCTGCCTACAAAAACAGGGATAGTAGATGAAGCTTTCAAAACTATCGAGACTAAAGTTAAGACCATGAGCGAAGCAAACAGAATGTGTACACTGTCCCTGGATGAAATATCCATAAAAACTCATCTGCATTACGACTCGGCAAAAGATGAAGTCATTGGCCTTGAGGATGATGGAGACACTAAAGGCGATCTCGTGGCAAACTCTGCACTGGTTTTCATGGCATGCGGTATTCAAGAAAATTGGAAGCAGCCCCTTGCATACTACCTGGTTAACGGCAGCTGTGACAGTCAGAAGGTCAAGAAAAAGCTTTTCGAATTACTTGATAAACTCGATTCTATTGGTTTAAATGTTGTGGCAGTTATTTCCGACCTTGGTTCAAATTTCCAAAAGTTTATCAATGGGCTTGGCATCACCGCAATCAAACCTTGGTTTTTGCATAATGGCAGAAAGATCTTCTATTTGTACCACCCACCCCATATCATTAAAGCCATTAGAAACAATATAATAAATTATCAATTTCATTTTGACGGAAAGATTGCAAGCTGGAAAGATATCGAGGCCCTCTATGCGAATGATAGCAAGTTATCAATCCGCTTATGTCCCAAATTAACGGACAAGCATATGCATCCCAACGGATTTCAAGAAATGAAGGTGAAATATGCCACTTAAGTGTTAAGCCACACAGTATCTGCAGCAATTTCAACATATGTTAGTCTTGGTAAACTTCCATCTGCTGCATGTTGTACGGCAGAGCTCTTGATGAAACTCGATCAAACTTTCGACTGCCTAAACAGCTCATCCCTACACAGCCCGAAAGTCTTCAGAAGAGCAATGACACCAACTTCACCACATGGGGACTTTATGCAAGAAATGTTTGATTTCATCCCCACAATTAAAGTCATCAACAAAGAAAACAAGGATTCAACGAACCTCCTGAAATGCCTCAATGCACTGAGAGTTACTTTAAATGGCACACTAAAACTTTGGAGTCAACTGCAGAAAGAATCAGTTAAGTTTTTATTGACAAGACGACTAAATCAGGATCCTCTTGAGAATTTTTTTGGGTCCATACGTCAGCAGGGAGGAAATGCCGATAATCCAACCCCAATCCAATTTTGTTGGGCTTTTCGAAAGTTGTTTTACAACCACTTCTTGGAGCAGTCATCCGGAAACTGTGCGGAAGACGTTGACAAAATCTTGGTGCAACTTCATCCTCCTCCAAGGAATAACTCATCAAAAGAAAATCAACCCCTGGCTCAAGATCAACCCTTTGTGGTAGACGAGTCCGACTATCGTGATCTTGCAATTGATCCAGATCAGAGTAATTCTGGTGCCAATGCCATCACCTATGTAGCTGGTTACATGATTACCAAGTGTTTTCAAAAACATAAATGTAACACGTGTGTTTCAAACCTTGTCAATGATGAACTTGATAATGGTAAAAAACTCTTTTGTTATTTCAAAGGATATGATTCGAGAAAAACATTTGGTGGCCTTACTGTTCCAACAGATAAGTTCACTCAATACATCACAGCAGTTGAAGAGAAGATTGTTCAGTTATTTCCAACAGTCATAAAGAAGAAAGGTGTTGCACAAGATTTGCTTTCACAGCTTCCTCTCTTCACAGTTCCATGTCCTGATTTTCCTGGTGAGTTTGTTCTAAGACTTTTCTTGAGAATGAGAATTTACTACATTTTGAAGTTTGGAAACAGAGAACTATCATCTCCGAAGAGTAAAAACAGAAAATATTTTAAAGTTCAAAATTTGTAACATTGCCACTTGTCTGGTGCATTAGCCTGTGTACAGTCTGATATGAATGCATTTGTGTGTGAATATGTTGAAAACGGATGACTCATTTGAACATGAATAAACTATTTATTCTACTGGGGCCGGTTGTTCAAAGCTGGTTTTGCTTAACCCTGGGTTAACCTAAAATTCAAAGCAAACTTCCTGACAGCTTGTCTATAAATTTGGAAATATTTCTTCAGAGATCTTGTCTAGATCGATAGGAATTTATTTCTCTGAAGTTTTGAAATAAACGGACGTGCAGAAATACATTTAAATGGGTTAAATTTTAACCCAGGATTAGCGCTAACCCACCTTTGAACAACCGGCCCCTGCACATAAAATAATAGAGTCCATGACATTTTATTAAAGATTAAAGTTGTCATGCATTTACTTTACGAACTGCGTGAGCTCCGGTAATCAAGATCAAGTTATTGGGGGTCATTCCAGAAAACATCCATACCACCCCCACAGAGGAAATATGAAGTTGACCTCACCCCCCTACCCCCTTCGGATGTCCTAATACATTTACTATTATCAGAAACAATTTTTTCTTCCCTCCCCCTCCGGATGGCAGAAATTTCCTGTTGGGAGAGTATGGATCTTTTCTGGAAGGACCCATTTTACAAGCCTAGTGTGGGTATTTTTGTTTTTGTAATATAAAGTGTATTGTTTGAGGTTGCATTCAGCAAGCCTGTCATTGGCATACTAGGTTAGGGGCATTACCCATGAAGTGCTGAAAGTTAACAAGTGTAGTTTGATTCTTTATCTAATATAATTTGAGCTCTTGCAGGGTTTAGGGCAATTAGGGGTATGGTTTGTATATGGAATTAATACCCTATTATAACCGATTACCGAAGCTCTAGGTTTTTTAAACATGGGTTCTGGTTTACTGGAACTATATATAGCCACGTCGCTTTTATAATACTTTTTATATTGTTCATTAGTTCAACTGTGTTGTGAATTAAATATTTACCAAAATGAGAGATTTTATTGGGATATTCCGGCATAAATGACAGTTGTAAACTGCTCTGTCTACTCATTGTTTTATACTTTTTTTCATACGTTTATCACTTTATACAGGTACAGTATTTTAGTATAATATAAAAATTTATACATAGAAATCAAACTTTTTATCTCTGATACATACCCCTTTAAAAGACATCTTAATGGTAACTTAATTTCATATTCACAAGAGATGCTCTTGATTCTTCAATCCACAAAAAGTTCGATCCAATGAGGCCGCGAAATAATGCAAAACACTGATAGAAATTAAGATGTTCGTACGTGGTTCGTACCTTCGTACTGACGCCATGTTACACCGTCATCTTCCTAGCAAGTGTCATGGCGTGAGCATGACGTGTACATCAAGGGAAATTTGAGGACACGAATTCCTATTAAGTTACGCATCTGGTATATACTTCATCTGTGCCATTACTCTGGCCAGTAAACTGGCTGCTGGCGTACTATAGATTATATGGAGAAGAGTCAGCCGATTAGCGCGTTTGACGCCGGCTGACAGCCGGAAATTTTGTCTCCGAATACTATTCGTTCAAAAAATGCGCGCATTTCGGAGACTGGTTCTAGAATGTTTCATAAGCAGAAAACGACCAAAATTACATTAAATTTTCCGAAAATCATCGAAATGCATCTAAATTCATCTTCCCAATGCATATATTTAGCTATGCGACAGGTCAATAAACGGGGGGGGAAAACAATTTCGGCAAAAAGAAAAATTCAAATTCGTTTGCGCGCACTCCGGACTCGAACTCACGACCCTCAGCATACATGCTGAGTGTTGTTCCCTTGCGCCACCACGCCTTACGCGGAAAATATGTCAATTAATTGTATATATACAAGTTATTCTTAGCCAGCGCAATTTGTGATTGCGTAAATACGTACACCATTGTACACGGCCAAGGGTACAGTAGCAGCCGAGCCGTATTTACTCTTTAATACAATACTTACAATACATCACCGCATCACGGCATAGATCACGGCTACCAGCCGGGGTTATTTAACTGTAATACAACTCTACAATGCAATACGAGTGTCAGCCGAGCCTGTCGGTAGTATACTATAGTATACTACAATACATCACGGCTACCAGCCGGCAATACCGCTATAAGCCGGGTATGTCTGTAGCATACTATAGAAAATATCACGGCTACCAGCCGGGGTTATTTAACTGTAATACAATACTAAAATGCAATACAACTGTCAGCCAAGCCTGTTGGTAGTGTAGTATACTACGATACATCACGGCTACCAGCCGACAATACTGCCAACAGCCCGCCCTGCCTGTAGTATACTATAGTATACTACAATACATCGCGGGTACCAGCCGGCAATACGGCTATCAGCCGGGCGTGTCTGTAGTATACTATAGTATACTACAGACACGCCCGGCTGATAGCCGTATTGCCGGCTGGTAGCCGCAATGTATTGTAGTATACCATAGTATACTACCGACAGGCTCGGCTGACACTCGTATTGGATTGTAGACTGTAGTATTTTATTATAGTTAAATAACCCCGGCTGGTAGCCGTGATGTATTGTAGTATACTATAGTATACTACCGACAGGCTCGGCTGACACTCGTATTGCATTGTAGAGTTGTATTACAGTTAAATAACCCCTGCTGGTAGCCGTGATCTATGCCGTGATGCGGTGATGTATTGTAAGTATTGTATTAAAGAGTAAATACGGCTCGGCTGCTACTGTACCCTTGGCCGTGTACAATTGTGTACGTATTTACGCAATCATAAATCGCGCTGGCTAAGAATAAGTTGTATATATACAATTAATTAACATATTTTCCGTGTAAGACGTGGTGGCGCAAGGGGACAACACTCAGCGTGTATGCTGAGGGTCGTGAGTTCGAGTCCGGAGTGCGCGCAAACGAATTTGAATTTTCCTTTTTGCCGAAATAGTTTTTTTTCTCGTTTATTTACCTGTCGCATAGCTAACTATATGCATTGGGAAGATGAATTTAGATGCATTTCGATGATTTTCGGAAAATTTAATGTAATTTTGGTCGTTTTCTGCTTATGAAACATTCTAGAACCAGTCTCCGAAATGCGCGCATTTTTTGAACGAATAGTATCACAATATAGTATACTATAGTACTATAGCGGGTGATGTGTGTCAAAATTCAATAACACATTTGGCAATGATAACGTACCATTTTGCTACAATAATAACACATCTGGCAACGATAAAGTAAACTTTTGCTATAATTTTGTGGCGGTTACAAGACATTTGTTAACAATAACAAAACATTTAATGACAAAGTATTATTTTGCAACAACATAAACGTATCGTTTTATTATTTGCCAACAATCGTACATTTGGCAAGTACAATCCCGTGATGCAATTGGGCACTAGCTCCAGATGGTGCGAAAACGGCGCTTAATTTATAATATTTTCACACAAAATAGCGATCAAGATATCGAAGAAAACGGAGTACGAACTGCTCTTGTAACGCGATTGGAAATGTTATTGACGATGTAACGGAATGCCTTTCAACAGAGCTTGATGATGTTATTGATCGTATTCGCGATTTTTCTGAAGACCTTTACCGATGCCTAGCAAATCTGACAGCACGAAATCCCGAAATTTACAGCGAATTGCTACATCAGGTCAGACTTCTCGTAGATGTCATACAACGTCATATTTTGAATAATGAAAATTATGGACCGAAAACATTGGGAATCATCCTAAGGTCAATGCCAGGTAGACCAAAATTTGAAATTTTGAGAGACCAGCTGCAGTATCTGCAGATTTATTTTGTGGTGAATTGGCCACACCATCCAGTAGCTGTACAATTATATATCTAGCTTGTAGTAGAGATGACTGAATATCATCTGACGCCGAAGCCATGTTTACTTATAGTCCAGGAGCTACTAACATAACATTATGACCCATTTTCCTCAAAAGTGCTGACCCCCAATATGAAAAGGTACCATCAAGGGCAAAAAAATTTCATTGGTCAGCTTGCCCGATTTGGGTTCGTTTGGGGTCCAGGCCCTTACAAATGCCTCGAATTCGGACCTTTAATGAACCTCATTAGCCTCAAGGCTGTAATTGTGCTAGCATATGCAGTCTTACTATACAAAAGAGAATATGGAAAAGCTAACCGAAAAATACGGTTCTAACACTTAGTTAGACCCCCCGCAAAGATACAATCCGGGATCATCATTAGATCCCATTAACTACAAACTCAAATCTTTGTGTGAACAATCTTCATGTCATAAAAAGGTAATTGGCAACAAAGCTTACCAAAAATTACGGTTCCTTTGTTAAGTCAGACAACGTTTTACCAAATACGCGAAGTAGAACTCATTTCATCTTACATGAAGTACTGTTCCTGAACAACAAAGATGGCGAAACTGTAAGTACTTAATACGTTATAATATTGTGTTTTTAAGTCCTGTTTGTGTTAAATTACTGCATGAATGTAATTTTTTTTTGCCATAGCAAGTTGTTTTCATTACTTCTATGTTTGTTTGTCTCTGGTAAACGTAAATATAATGTATTAAATTGTCTTTTTTTATTGTTTTTCTGGGAAAATAATGCTCTCAATAACGAAGTGAATCAACACCTGTGATGTATGCATAAAAGTCAGAAAAGCAACGAATTCTTAGTTATTTTGCAGGTAATTGATCGAAATTTATAGCTAGTGGACTCAATTAATATTCGTATTTATATTTTTGAAAATACTAAACACTTGAGATAACTTCGCTATTATTAAAACACGTAATAAAAAATATTACGAACTTGTCACTTTATCTTAAAAAAATTACAGGCACATGAATTAACACAGTTTAATCCATTTTTGAAGCACCTGATGACTTGAAGAAAGAGCTTCTACTACTCCATGGCCAAAGGTGACTGACATTGTTACTCGATATGTCAGGTAATAATAGTGTAATTATATCAAGTTTTGAATACAAAAAATGTGTGTAAGGCAAACAAGGCCTGTCACGTCTGATAAGGTACATTTAAATTCTTATAGTTACTGGAAATATCATATCCTAATTGTTGAATAACATTTTGACTAATTCTCGTCAATGAAAAAGAAAAATTTCATCGGAATTTAACAATTTTAAGACTAATTATCCATAAATATATTACTTTATAGCTACTTGTGAGACTCGTTCAACCGATGCCGATTACGCAACAGAAAGTAACAATTGAAATATTGGTAGGTTTAGTCATGTAATTGTATTGTAAATTATTTGAGTTTACAAACAGTATTAACAAAAAATTTAAAACCATAATTATTCATCAATATTTTATTTTATTTTATTTTATATTTACTTGTCAGACTGATTCAACCGATACCGATTACAGTGAAAATATTGGTAAGTTTAGTCATGTAATTGTATTGTAAATTATTTGAGTTTACAAACAGTATTAACAAAAAATTTAAAACCATAATTATTCATCAATATTTTATTTTATTTTATTTTATATTTACTTGTCAGACTGATTCAACCGATACCGATTACAGTGAAAATATTGGTAAGTTTGGTCATGCAATTGTATTTTAAATTATTTGAGTTTACAAATAGTTTTAGCAAAATATAATATTATAATCATTCATCAATATTTTATTTTATAGCCACTTGTGAGACTGATTCCAGCTGATACTGATTACGTAACAGAAGGAAACTATGAAAATATTGGCAAGTTTAATTATGTAAAATTTTCTAAGTTACACTTTTTGTAATTAGTGATGTTAGTTTCGTATATCCTGTTTCGTATATGTTGTGTTCTGCATGTAGGAGAAGGTTCCGAAATAGGAAAAATTAATTATTTTACATCAAACACTCTGGAAAAGTGCAAGACTATCCTAGCAGCAAGGAAAGAAGGAAACTTAAAGTACAAGGATACCCAGCTTCCTGAGGGTGTAACCAAAACTCATGGATTTCATATAGAGTGTTATCGAAGATTCATTGCCCTGTCGGAAACTAAAAGGAAAAGTCTCCAAAACAATATGAAAGACGCTAGTTCTACTCCCTTGACACGTTCAAGAATTCCAACAGCAATACCAACAGGTTCAAGTGGAGTGTTTTCAAAGATATGTATTTTTTGCTTGAAAAAGGTTAAGAAGCATAAGAATTCAATGCAGAAACTAATTGCAGCCTCCACAGAAAACTTTCAAGAGAACATAAAGATGTATGCTCGTTGGTTAAACGATCAACCCATGCTATTGAGGATTGGTAATGAGGATTTTGTTAGTAAAGAAATCTATTATCATGGTATATGTCGGGTTAGTTATCAGAGTAGAGCGGAAAAGACCCCTTTTGCAATACAAGAGAAGAAGGCACATGAATTGGAGAAGCCTAAACCTGAAACATGCATGTTGGCATGTTTCAAGAGAACCACACCGCAAAGCATTTGGGGCGATCTGCTGCCTTATTAATGAGAATGTTCTTGAAGAAAAAGAGGTTGTTTTACTTAGTGACCTAAACAGCCAATACAAGATGTTGCTGGCAGAAATAGGTGGTGAAGATTATGAAGATGTTGAATCGAATTCCACCAAGCTAGAAAAAAAGTTTGTACAGCATTATAAGGAACGAATAAAAATTATTAAAGGAAAGACAAGGCGTGGTAACCTGGTATCCAGCAGTGAAATCTCGGATGAAGAAGCATTTAGAAGAGAAAATTCAATGAAAACAAAGATAAAGGCCAAGATTCGGGACGTAGCGTTTGAACTAAGACAATCGATTATCGATGCTGAGAAATTAGCAATACCAGACGAAGTGAAGCTTGCTGATATAATAAGAGGAGAAGTTGAAATTCCTGATATATTGTTGGAGTTTTTCACTTACCTCATAGGTGGTCCTGATCAAAGAATAGCAAAATCGCAACGGAAGCAGAGAAGGATTAAATCAATATGTGATGATGTCATCTTTTCAGCAACCTCAGGAAGAAAGACTCCTGCAAAGCATTTACAGCTGGGGTTATCAGTGAAAAGTCTAACTGGAAGCAAAAAAGTTATTGAGATTTTAAATCACTTTGGTCACTCAATCGGTTATTCTACAATCGAGGAGCTAGAAACGGAATTGACGTTTCAATCGACCAAGGAAGAAAACCTAACACCCAACGGAATGGTATTAAGTCAAAATCTTGGAACGGGGGTCGCATTTGACAACTTTGACCGATTTGTCGAAACTTTGAGTGGAAAAGACACATTGCACGACACGGTTGGTATAGCTTATCAAATTGTATCAGAAGAACCGACAGTTGAAGAAAGTAGTGAACCCGAATTTGTTCGCGTGGCTGCATCTAGGAAAAAAAGACGAAGAGCTTTTCAAGCAACTGGGTTAGATATAGAACCATACAGGAAAAAACCTAGAATGTTAACAGTTCCAGTGCTTCCCCTTGAGATCCGAGAAGGACGTTTGAACCTGAATCATATCTCAATGCAAGAGCGTACGATTCTTTATGGATGATGGATTCCTATTTTTCACCAAATGATACGCCAATGTGGGTCGGGTGGAATGCAAAAGTTTTTCCCAATAAGAAAGAATTACAAAGAGTTTGGTACCTACCACAAATCAATCAGTCACCAACTTCTACTGCT